GGTAGTGGACAAGAGAGAGCTATATAAGTAGCCGCATAATCCACGTTGTATGTAGAGTCGTATGCTATTGATGCATATCTAGTCACATCATGTATCGTGACGTGCTGATCTGTCTCGACTTGTGGTGATCCTCATCGCGACAGCGCAACGTGCTCAACATATGTGGATTCAATTGTCTTATCTCTTGACATGGCTTTCTGATCGTGGATGAGACGTTATCAACCCATATCGAGGGCAGAGACGTTGAGACGTCTTCTCGACATGGCTCTTGTGATTTCATCAAGCGTAAAGAAGCAAGTGCCTTGCGAGGTGCGAGTCTCGAGACTCTTCGACTGAATATGGAGCCTCTTCGTCTCCTAACTAATCAGTCTTTGGGAAGAAGGCGAGAAGACGCAATTTTTCTGAGAGGCGCTCTTGCTGAGGTGATCCCAAGGCGTGCTGAGAAGCTTTGCATGGTTTCCGCACATGTGAAGTAGACAGGCAGCGTGTGACTCTGTCCAACCGTCACATGTGCTGTCTTGGGCAAAAACCAATAACACAAAGACTGGCATACAATACTGAGCATCACCAGTGCCACTGGCCACAACGGTCACATCTCATGGAGCAGAACTTACAGAACGAGTTCATGGAAAAAAATCCAGCTGCTTGAGAAAGCCAGAAAGCAGACACTTTGAGATTCGTTTAAGGTTGAGGCTGACATCGATGCTCACCACTCGTCGGGACCTAAAACTTATGCTCATTTGGTCACCGCCTCCAATGTCCGAGTCTGCCACTGCATCCAACCACTGAGCCGCTTCCTGGCTTCCAGACCCCAAAAACTCCACTACGGTGCTATTCCGCTGTTTGGACTCCAAACAGCGGAATAGCTATCAATTGAATTGCTATCAAGGCGCCATCCTACCATCTTACCAAGTGCTGTACATCAGTTTGTTCAGGCGGACTGCTTGAACTTCAGCCCGGCTGAAGTTCAAGCACTTCAGCCCGGCTGAAGTTCAAGGCTTCCGTTCTACGGTTCAGAGAATGCTTCAGTCTACCTACATGAACTTCATGATGACGCTTTTGAAAGGTGAACCGTTGAGCCAGCGGACCGTCGATATTCTGTCTTAGCAAGAGGGGCCGTTGGATGAGCACGTGGTCAGATTGACAGACACCGTCGGCAGTTACAACACTTTTCCGGTCCGGACCGTGACGGCGCTGGCTCAGCCTGGCACCCCTTCACAATATGCAGAAGGCTACCCGGGTACCTACCGTAGGTACCCTGTACCGTACCGGTATCCTAGCTGGCCGGACCGCGGGGCGGCCGCGGCGCAAATAGACCGCCGGCCGCGACAATCCGCAGCCCCCAGCCCCGGGCGGCAAAGCATCTAAGCCGAGTGCAGGTCCTGCAGGTGATCGTGTACATGTCGGGTGCTCCTCAGCTATCGGTACTGAATGCCGTGCAATGCTTGTGTCAAAGGGGTACAGGTTTGCTACACAAAGCTACACAGGGTGTACCATACGGCCTCGATCCACGTCGTGTACAGCAGGACCTTCTCGTACACATGTCAGACTAGCCATGCCCAAGTGGTACACAAGCTGTACACGACCACGATGTGTACGGCTCTGATACACGAATGTATCGTATCCACACCTCGGGGAGTTTCGTGACGCAAACGCCGGGCTGAAAATTGCCTTTGCCGCCCTCTGGAAGTGACCGCAGAATACTGCTTACGTACTTCAAGTCTTGACAGCCTGTACATACAATGCAAGACCAGCAACATCCGGAGCTGGAATTGACGGTTCCTAGGTTGCACGAGGACATATTGTTGAAAGAAACGAGGATAGTAAGGATATGCGCCTCAAATCAAAGCGCTGCTTACAATCATGCGTTATAGCCTTAACAGCATATGAGTCGGTTCGAAGCAGTAACGGGACCTCGATGCAAATCTTTACTTTTGAAGACATTAAGTTGATCAACTCGAAATCAATGCCTCAAAATCCCAGGTACAACTCGGCAATTCCATCAAGCCCTACCTTTATACGATGCAAGCACAATCGTACGCAATAGGTAGGGGGTAAGCTAGAAGAGACTCGTCATGCCCTCACAATGATGATGATTCCTATTATGAAGCTTTCTGGAGTTTGCCCTGCTTCGAACTTCACGAGGATCACCGCAGCTGCTCCACTTAGTCAACTCGATTGACGGTCATATGCGAGTGGCTTAATCTGCAGCGGTGTTTATATCGAGGTGGAATTCTAAATAGATCTCAGTCGAAGCGGCTGCAAAATTCTGCAGCCTGGAAAGGAGCGGAAGGTTCGTATCAGGGATCGCGGATTGCAAGCCTGGCATCCATCTCTGATAGCTATAACCTAGATAAACCGCATCGAAGCTCAATATAGTATAGTACGTTCCAAGTACTGTGTACACGCCTTCCATGAGCTAATATTATATTATATTCCAAGGTGCATTCCTCGAGATTGATGCAATTGCACACGCGTACATGCAAACCGTTTGCACGCATGTCCACCGGATACTAATTAAGGGTACTGTAGCCTGCCAGTGAAGTTTGAAGATGATAAGACTAGACGATCCTCAGTGTATGCCTTCTAAGAGGGAAGCTGGAGTATCCAGCACCGGTACCTACATTCTTCCAATCGAAAGCTAAAGGTCAAAATTATAATGGCTTCCTCGCTTCACCAGTACAATACCCCTCCAGTACGTCTGGTACCCACTTACAAAAGTGCAGGAACCGAGACGTAGCGACTCTGGCAATTCTCATGTGATTCTAGAGGCGTGTGACTTTAGAGGCGCCCAGGAGACGGGTGGGGTAGGTAAGGTGGTTAGCGTGGGTTAGGGTGCGGAGCGTGTGATTTTCTCGGTTAGGATTTCTAGTTTGTGTGCCCGGGTAACTCAAATGTTAGGTCACACGCCCGTTAGGTCACACGAGAGTTACCAGTATCTTCAACTCTGGTCGCAGCAGACGTCCTCAAAAGCTCTTGTTACTGGCGGAGTGTGCTCTGCTCAATTTTCCTTGTCATCATAGAAAAGCGTATAGTTGCTCGACGTTGCTGCTTGAGACAATGAAAGTAGAGTTTGGCTTAGATATAATCTTAACAAGATCAGGCTGGCAAGGCAGAACGGTTTTGCGTACCTGAGTTCTTTCTGAAATTCAGATTTACAGGCTTCGCTCTTTCCACTTTTAGAGGATGCATTTGGCCAGATTGCTTGTATCTGACGCAGAGGCTGAAAAAATAACGTCCAAGTCGCACGCCTTTTCCTTTCTACCTTGAAACATTGGTCCTCAGTTTGAGAGGCGCTCTCTGGGGACGGCGTAAAGCAGGTGTCTGTGAGAGCTTTGTTCCCTAACCCGTTCTGACTTTCTTTCCTGAAATGCTGCAAGATGGCTGCGTTGGGAACAGTGTGGCCGCCATCCCTTTCCTCCATGTCGCAAGCAGCAGAAAGAATCGTCTCCGAAGACAGAACAGGGTCATCTGAGCAGCAGCACGTCTCTATCTCCAATGGCAGCAGTCGCGAAGGGGACCTTTCTCGAGCTAACGGCGATACAAGCAATGGAGGCGCTTCAGACGAGACAGACGAAGTCATCCAGGTTGGAACGGAGGTGGAGCGACGGACGCCGCTGATTCCGGTAGAAGGTCCAAGAGAAGGAGAGCGGTCCTCAGGAGCTGCATTGAGGCTCATGACCGGAGTCAATGAAATGCTGGAATGTCCAGTCTGTCAGGATCTCATGCTTCCCCCGATCTTCCAGGTCAGTTGATTTCAGTATTCGTATGATGTTCAACTTTAAACTGATCGATCGCGTTGAATGTGTAATTTTGCAGCCTTTCTTGAGTCAGTCAGCTTCAAAAGATATGCAGGCGGAAATGCTCCTCGAGAACATGTCTTTTCGTTCCTATCAGGACGTCCGGATTGGCAAGTTGCTTGCCAATCCTCCAGAGTATTGATTGGTCACTGCAACAGAAGCGGTCTCAATTGTAACTATGGTGAAACTGTTGAGACAAACAGACCGACCCCACGGAGGTCTTTGTCTCCACAAGACCCTTGCAAAAAAGAAGGCATTGTGTTCGACTGAACTTCTCAAAGTTGCTCTCCCCTATACCGGATGTTGACCGTCTCACATGTTTCTCGTGCAGTGTCAGAACGGTCATACAATCTGTTCAACTTGCAAGGCCAAAGTTGAAGATCGCTGTCCGAGCTGCAGATGTCCACTAGGTTCTATCCGGTGTCTGGTGTTGGAGAAGGTGCGTGTCGAGGATTTTTTTTCTATTTTTGACAATATCATTTGTATAATCTTCAAGTTGAGAAGCTCTGTTTGCAATCCATGAAAGATGCTCAAGAAGCTCCCACATGCAAAGCAAGCATTCCCCTCATTAATGTTGCACCACAGTAACCGTCAAAGGACCGCAGTTCTACTTCCTTCTTAAATCGGCTCAGTATTCAATTTGCAGGTGGCATCGACTCTTAGGCTCCCTTGTGCATTCTTTCCTCGAGGCTGCAGCGAGATCGTCGACTACGCACAGAAGCAGGTAGAAAATAGATTCGTTGTTAGTAACAGATCAGCTGCTTCTGTGAGCTTCATGCAGCACATTTATCTCCGGTTTAGCGAACCTACCTTGCAGATGGAGTCTGAGTCAGTATTGACCATTTAGTCCTCAATTGTCACTTTCTAGCTTGACATTTTTAGTTTTCGTTGTCTTGTTTTTGTCGGAGCAGATTCTGTGGTAGCTTCTTGCAGAACCACGAGGAGCGCTGCATCTTCCGGCCTTTCGCCTGCCCCTATGCTGGGTCCCCTTCTTCTAGCACCTCCTGTAACTTCTCTGGAGAGATTGCGCAGCTGGTCTCTCATCTGGTAGAGTTCCATAAGGTCAGTACTTTGTATAATGGTAATCGAGCATTGAGATATTGTCTCTTAGCATCCGCTCCTTCCATTTAGTCTGTTCGAACATCTCATTGGCTGGCAGATGTTGCTTCATTTAAGCGCTCTTCTAGGCACGATACCTTGCAGAACCACTTTACTTCTGCTGACGTTGTTGCTGCTTCTGAAAAGGTCGACATGCGCACCGGCCCTTCATTCATCCATCGATACGTCATGACGCGACCGACTGAGGTCGAGAATGCTACCTGGATGTGAGCTGCCAATATCCTTATCCCGTCCGTCCCTTTTGTGGGGTGCGACTAGCGGTTCAGAATGGTTGATTCAGAAGGACTCAATCTGAAAAGGTAGACAAAGATGGTTGGTATGGCTTCTAACAAGGTTCACTTTCCTTCGCTTTCATGTATCCTGCTCCTCATAATCTTGCAAACACTTGAGAGTGATTGACTTCTCGGAGCCACAGAGTCGATGTTTGGTAGCTTTTCCAGAGTGTTTGACGATTGACCTTGGGAGGCAGTCTCTCGCCACAGCTTGCACCTTGATAGCGAAGCATTCGATTGAGACTTCTGCGAACCTTAACCGCTGTCTACCTTACTTGCTGAAGGCCTACCGTGCTGGACGCCTTCGGCAGCTACTTCTGCCTGCACTTCGAAGCTTTCCAGCTAGGGCGCGCTCCGGTCTACATGGCTTACATTCAATTCATGGGGGATGAGGCCGACGCCGCTCGCTTCTCTTACACGCTCGAGGTCGGCCACAGCGAAAGGAAGATGACGTGGCAGGGCGTTCCCGCCAGCATCCGGACCAGCCCTCGTGCGGTCAGAGACGCTCACGACGGACTGGTTCTGCAGAGGAAGGTCGCCTTGATGTTCTCTGGGGGCGAGGACAGCGACCTGAATCTGAGAGTCACTGGGCGCATCACCAGGGCAGCGGGTAACAGATAGGGCGTCATTAGATCGTCCAATTGAGTTGCATCTAGAGCATTCAAAGTCCATCGAAAGCCTTAAAACCGTTAATCCATCTTGCTTCCGTCCACCAGGCTTGATTTGCAAGGGCGTCTGGCATCGTATGCCGTTCGTCATCGTGATCTTCTCTAGGCTACTCGAATTGCAATCAAGCTGGAGGGCCCAGTCAAAAGCAGAGTGTTGTCTTGCTCAGATAAAGCGGCAATAGAACGTGTTCCGAATGTTGATTGCGTGGTTTGTTCAGGTAGTTATGAGCTTGCGAAGAGCTAGAGTATAAGAGCTTGAGATTCGGAGTGGCTGCAGGCTCGCATATGATCCCACTTAATTACGTGCCTGGCCTTCTGACAGACTTCCACATGGATTTAGTCACATAAGTCGTTCATTTCTTACACAATCGAGCCGATACGTGTTTGAATTATGCACATGTGCCAGCAAAGGGCGTCAAATTCAATGAATTAAGTAGCGCCGTCAACGTCATGCATCTTCATTCGGCACGGGAATTATATATAGCGTAATGTATGCCTGATCGAGCTTTCCATTGTAACACAACTATAGCTAGTGGAATTTCGATCACGACCGCGGCGTCATCGGTACTATTACTTGGACGGTATACGGTTTCTTGCCGAGCCTGGGCACTGAGGCAGGCCCGCCCGTTCTTCATTAATTGAACGTACGTGTACCGTCGATCGGTCCCGAGCCGGATCGACCTGCAGTACGTCATTCAATAAGTATGAAAATGTTGAGGCAATTGGCCAGGCACGCGACTTCTGGCATGCAATGATTCGGAGTCCAATTAACGCAAGCGCGCGCATTTCATGATACCGTCAGTGCACGTTCCGGGTCACTTCGATAACACTTAGCTTTGTCCCTTTTCAAAGCAATCTGGCTGGGCCGCCGCAGGAGCGCCTTTGCCTTGAGACACATCAAGAAGAGACTTGACCCAAAATCGACCATCCGGCGGCTGTACCGAGCGGGCGCAACGCTTTCAATCAATTGAACTCCTTGGTGGACTCCTTGATATCGTACCTCCTTCGAACACCAACGTCACTGAGCTGTCTGGAGACACGTAGATGGACGCCAATGAAGCCAGTCTTCTTTGCAGAAGCTAGTACATCCAGAGCACACAGGCTCAGGTACTCTCTTCTCTCCTCCGAAAACAGTGACCATTCGTTACTTGTACTCCATAGCACTCAAGTACTCTCCGTTCTCCTCAAAGTACTTAACCATCCGTTTTAGAAAGGGGTCGTTGCTGACGGTCTCGCTGTCGCAGATCACTGTGCATTGCCGCCGGGCTCGTGTGACTGCGACGTTCATTCTCCGGCTGTCCGCCAGAAAACCGACCTGCAGACAATCTGCGAGCGTCAGCAGTCGGCTTTTATATCAGGCGGACCCCCGAATTTGGGTTGAACAATCGATAAATCGTGAGAAATCGTGCAAAACAAGCTCACCGATGTTAGGCTCAGTATCTAAAAGGAATGGTTCGCCGACTCGGATTCATCCTATTTTTGACACCATGCGTCCCATAATTCGTCGAGACGCAAAGTGGATTAAAACTGGGATAAACCAAGCTCAACGAGGACGGCCGAGAAGCGGTATTTGAAGAGTTTCGCTGACACTGTTCCGCTCTTCCGCTAGCATCCTTCCCAAGACGTGGCATCGCAGGTGGCTTGTCGTGACCCGTAGTCTGTTCTCGAAGCCGAACCGACCCGTCCCTCTGTTATGCCGACACTCCCTCAAAGCGCACTTCAGGGATTCCTTCGGATTGTTCCGTCCCCCCTGCTGAATGTGGTCCGGATCGAAGCTGCCGGAACAGACCGAGCCGCGCCGAACGGCGCTCGGATTAGATATTCAAGCTGAAGCGAAACAAATGCCGTCAGAACCGGATTACAACTGAATGCAGGCGACCTGAAAGTGGCCGATCAGACCTTGCAAAATGATTGAACGCTAAGAGTTGCAGTCGTTCTCACCTCGCCCTTGTCATTCGACCGCACCATTGAGATGACAATCGCCTCCTTCTCCCGCCCCTGGAATCCGTCTACTGTGCTTATCTCCAAGTCGCGCAGTTTCCGGTCCTCCCCTCGCATCTGCTTGAGCACTCCTACCTGCGGCATAACAAAAAACTCGGTTTTCAGGTTTCACGATTCTGGGTTAGGGAATTGCGCTGCGCGCTTGAGGTGGATTGGGCTCATACAGTAAGGGTTTGTCGGCTGAAGGATGACAGCAATTGAACTCATTGAAGTGCTGTGGTTGGGATGAACCGTCGTCACGCTGTTGTGATGCCGTCAGCTTTGCGGGCAACGCCCATTTCTAGTTCATTATCCCGTCGTACTCTTTCAGCCTTCTACAAATCAGTCATCGAGGGAATGAAAGGCAACACAAGTGACACGGATACTGCCTTCAAACTGCTCAGCACCTGGAGTGCTTGTCTCCAGATCGGTGCATGGCCTGCGAAAGGAGTCATCAAAGGCTCCCACTGATGCCCCAAGCTTCGACCATGAATGTCCTACCCAAAAGTGTAAGAGAACCTGTACCCCAAAGAACAATCATTTTATTCAAGCCAGACGACCCGCATTATGAATGTTCAAATCTGTTTACATGCCAAGCAGACGTCCCAAATCGCACACCGCCGAATCACCCGCTTCTTTATTTTCTGCATACTGTCCAGACACGTGCCCCGTACCTGCGCGCTGTACGGAGTGATGACGCCGACGTCAGCAGCCGCCACCCCCGCCTCCAGCAGCTGGCTGACGTGGGCCATGACGACACGCGCCTCCCCCTCGTTGGACGTACTGCCGCCCTCCTCCTCTTTCAGCTCGTCCATGTCGCACCTGCGGGGTTGAGCTTCGGGTGAAGATCCGGTTAGGTTTACGTCGAGGCTCACGTTCGATTTCGGGTTCGGGTTAGGGTTTCGGTTCGGGGGTGCAGGTTTTCAGGATCCCAGGTTCAAGAAAAGTTGGGTTCCAGGCCTTTCAGGAACTCGTCAACCTCTCGCAATCCCGCAGGTTAATGTTAGGGCCTCCCGGCTGTCAGCCTTTTGGGCCTTTCAGAGTTCTTGCGGTTACTCTAGGTTGTAAGATGTTTCTTCCGACGGTTTACAGTCTGTTCACAGTGATTGTCGAAACTTTGAGGATTAGAATCCCTCATGGCAGATCACTTGGCCGAACTAAAGTAAGGGACGCAGGGGGATGGTGGATGGAATAGCTAACATAATCGGCTTCTGCTTAGTTGATTGGTGCTGTACGGACAGGCAAGGACAAAAATCCGGGTTAAGTTTCGTGACCTGTTTTTGTTTCCTTTGATAGAGCCTTCTTAACCTCGTGAGGGAAGAACGCCCAGCTTCGAGCGTCAACTGCAACTTGTATGTCTAAAGAGGTCAAATGTCCGACGGACGGGTTCTGAATGCCCATAACGTGAGTCGTCGGAAGACCACCTTGGAGCTGGTATGAGCACATACTTCACTGAGTGCCAAATTCAATTGCGCGAGACGGTTGCCAGTTCTTATTACGTAAACATAACGCAAGAAAATGAAAGTGGACTCACCCCGCAGTGTCAATCATGATGAGGACCGGGTCCGTCGCTGGCGATGACGTCACTCCCTCCACGTCGCAGAGCCCGTGCGACGCAACGCTCTCGTGGGCCGTGATCTGGGGAGCAGGAGACGTGCGTCAATCCCTGACACATCGGCAGCTCAGACCACCCGGACTCCACATCTGAGGACGTCACCTTGCGACACATACCCAGCACACGCAGACAATCCGCTCCGGTTCTTCCAGAGCTTTTTGGACACCACAGAACGATCCGAAAGGCCTCAAACTTTTGGGGCTGAGTCATCCAGCGCCGTCAATAGTTCGCAGCTTCAGAATCTAGCATTCAGGACTACGAACTCTGCTGAGATATTTGATTTATCATAAATCAAGCGGCTTTTACAGCTGTTTGCGGAAACTTGCCATCGGGTTTAACGCTTTCTAAGCCTGGTTTCTCATCTTGGGCCGTCCGGTGCCATCCTTGTCGTCGATCGAACGGTTCAAGATTGGGGACCATGATCGGAGAGTTAGAAACACGATGGCAGGTTTGACGCAAAGAGCTGTAGGTAACTGTCCAGGGTTAAGCTCTGGTTAAGGCGGCACGCACCTTTCCTCCGTAAAGCTCCTCTGACGACCACCGCATGACGTCTTCGTTCATCCGGTACTGCACCGTTAGCAGCGCCGTAACGTCATCACCGTACAGCCTAGTTAACCGCTCAAAAAGGGTTGTGCCTAACCCCTTTTTCTCGGCCTCGGCGCTCTGCACAGTGGGCGGCAGCTGGAGGTGGTCGCCCGCGAGAATGCAACGCCGGCCCTGCAGAAAGGCCGGGATTTCAGAAACTTTCGAGAATTTCAATACGAGATACAGAAGGTTTCAGAAAAACCCCTTCTCTTCTTTCTGCTTTCTTCGCTTGTTTACAATGTCAATTGGGTTTCTCTTCCTCGTGAGTCGATCGGGCAGGTTCCTCCAAGTCTCAAGAAAGAAAAGGGTCTCAAAGCTAGGCCGCCCACCACTCAGGGGCTTTCGGGAACGCAAACAAGAGGGTCAGCTAAGAGCACATTAACATGCCTTATAAATGAATATACAGCCTCAACTTCTTCACCGAAGCGCCAACCACGTAACATTCATGAGGAGAAGGTAACTGACAATACAGAAAGAAGGTCATCAACTGTCGCCCCGCCTTGAGGATTGGAACTCTAGTAAGCCTTTGATTCTGCACCTTTCATCCACTTTGAGACTGGAACCTAAAATCCTACACTTTCGCGGTTTGAAACCTTGGCAATGTCGCGCTTTAACCCGGTTTAAAACTTCAAACCCTAGGTTTCACAAACACTAACCCACCTTGAGAATGGGGATCCAGCACGCGCACTCAAGCGCCTGCGCCGCCTCGTCCAGCACAACTAGATCGAAGTCCGTTCCTTTGAGCTGGAAGCTCAGCGCGCCCGTCAGCGTCGTCAGGATGACGGTGGAGTCCTTGATGACGTCATTCACGGCCTGCTGCTGACGTTGCTTCTCCTCCTTGGCCAGCTTCTTGAGCTCGCGCCGGAGGTCGCCTTTCTCGCGCCTGGAAGCGAGCGGGGCTTCTGGACTCAGCAGCTTTAGCAACTCGCAAGCTTTGACTTGACAGTTAGAGAAAAACGGTCTTGGAGGGTTCTCAATATAATCTATCCGGAGGATTGCTTGCCGCATGATAAGAGTCTTTCTGGGGAAAAGCAGCGCCGTTCACTGCTTTGTCTCAACTATCGACCAAAAGTGATCCAGCTCTAGTGACTAGCGGCGTGACCGACGACTGCCCTGTTTTTCCAAAGTCGAAGCCAAGAATTCGAGGGTCCAATATTGCTTCTCACAGGACTACAGACTGCAGATGATCGAGGATAACGCAGCACAATCAAGACCATACGAAGAAGCACACTGGTATCATGCCCGTAAGCGCCTCCGTCCGACCCAGCTCGGACCGCCGTTGTCCGAGAGAACGGTTTCTCTGACCACTTCGATGAGAAAATTCAACAATCAGGAAAGTTGCTAGCGCTCACCTATCCTTGGTTTTCAGCAGCTTGTTCCCAATCTGCTTCATTTCCTTTCGGACGTCGTTCGCGAGCGAGCTGTTGTCCGTGCGCATCACGAGGGCGTCCAAAGCGCTGTCCAGAACCTGGGGCAGCAACCGTGCGGGGTGGCCTAACCGCACCAGCTTAACCCTGCAAGGTTAGGGGCGAGAGTTTCAGGATTTTCAGGTTATCCGCGAGGGAGATCTTGTCCGTCTTGGATGACGAGCCCGTCCAAAGTGCTGTCCGAAAATCGGGGCAGCAGCAGGGCGGGGTAGCCTCCCCCCACCAGTTTAACCCTGCAGGGTTAAGGGCTAGGGATTTAGGGTTTCCAAGGTTACTTGCGAGTGAGCTGACCGCAACAGCTTAACCCTGAGTTAAAGTACACAAAAATAGCTTGCTTTTGGAGTTTGAAGTCTTGAGTGAAACTCTGACATCCGGAGATTTTGAGGCAATGTGTAGGATTTCACGCTTTGCACACTCGAAAGATTTGAGGTTCGACAGCTTGAAGCATCGACGTTTTGCAATTCCGCTCCAGCCCGACCCTGAGTGCTAGGAATTGGGTGACCTCAGGAATTTTTGAAACGTTCCAAAATTGATCTACAACTCCATGATCTTTGGGTCATGACGGAAGCTCCTCTTGCATCCTGCCCTATCACGATCAGCAGAACAAAAATCTTCACGGCGTGCGCTAATCCGGTCATCCAAGTCCACGTTTACTTGCCGGGCTGTGTGTATTCGGATTAAAAACAAACTTTCTAGAAGCGGCTTCTACCCTCTTTCTAGGCTGCCCAGCAACTATATCCCCAGATAGACCTCGGAATCGGAGCTCTCGTGTACACTCCAAACCGATTTGAGTATGATCTTCAAAGTCTACCATCGCAAGAACCGGCCACATGATTCAAAGCGCCTCATGTTATCATATACTGTTCGACTTGATCCCAGAGACAAGATATGAGACAAACTTTCGTTTGCATTTTCGAAGGACGATGGTTATATTTGCAAACACAAAGCGCAAAACCAGCGCGTCGGCACCATGTATCACCTGCTCACTTGTGCTTTGCCAACCGCTCCACCATGTTATCCACCGCGATATTGGAAGCCGCGCACGCCAGGATCTTCCGGCCCTTCTTCACTTCCTGCAAAATCAACTGCAGAACGGAGGAGATGACGTCAGCATAATAAGACGGGTTGCACCACACATCTGACGCCGTGCGCACCAGACTCTCATGGCGCTCTTTCGCTGATGTTAGTTACGGCTTTCTCTCCTTCTGATGACGTCGTTTGTCCCTGCTCGATAACGTCATTGTCTCTGCTTCAGGAGATTGATGACCATGACAAACTAAAAGCCTAGTTTCTGCTCCTTGGAAAAGTATGGCATAAGCGTCCATTTTACAGCCGCTGACGTCAGAAGTTGCATGAATGGTAACCCGCTTTGTGCAGGGCATAGGCAATGACGTCAAGTGACACAAAAGGATGATGTCAGCGAGTGGCTGAGCAGCGGACGTCATCGCAACTTGGTCAATCAACGGAGAGCAGAGCGCTCGTTCCTCTCAGCCTTTGATTGAGGGTGCTTAAAAGGTCATCTCTTCAGATTCCATTTCTTTTCCTATCGGGTCCCCTGACTGTTGAGCTAGCAAGGAAGGGTCGAATCCGATCCCGTCATCTCAGCCCTTCTGCTGGTTCTTCGAAATGTTTGACAATCTCGAGTGCAAAGATTTCAAACTCCAAATAATAAGGATTGTCTGACCTCGATGACGGCTGTCGTTTTCCCCGTGCCCGGCGGCCCGTGCAACAGCAGAAAGTCCTCCGCCCCGAGCGCGCGCGAAACGGCCTCCCTCTGCACGCAGAGTACGGCGTTACGTACTGGGCAAGAATAATCTTCTCTTTTCGCAATGCAGGCTTCTCTGGTTAGCTAAGATGATATCCTAGACGTTGTACCCGGCTCGTGAAATCGTAAATGCGGGGCCATAACCCTCTTTATTGTATCCCACACTTGTTATCGGCCTTTTTACAGCGTTTCTGCCCAAAAGCTTCGCTCCTCCAAACCTAGCGCAACATGCTGAAAACAGCCCCCCCTTGGCAGTCCAAGTATTGATTCGTAATGAGGCAAACCCTCACGAAACGCAGCCGTTCTCAGCTTTCGAGAAACGACAATGCTTCAAGCCTTTGAAGCATTCCAGCCAGTCACTTTTCGCAAGCAGGACCCTTAATTGAGCTTGGCACCTCACCTGAGAGTGGTCAAGGTTCACGTTGATCGGCGTGAACGGGAGCGGCTTCTTAGCAAAGCGCGGCGCCCGCTCGCCGAACAGAACCGGAACTAGATCGACGGCCGGTCCCTTTGGGCCCTTGCTGAGCTCGATCAGGGTGTCTTTCAGGCGACGAAACGTCACCTGGCAACAGACCCCAAGCGTTACATGGGCTCCGCAGCTCGCGGAATGAGTGCACCGTGCAAAGACGAACTCGTTGCTCCAGTCAATTTTCAAAGGAACTCAGGCGGGGAAATGAACGCTGAGCCACAGCAGAGCTATAGGATTTTTGAAAGTCTGAGCAGGACTTTGGAAGTTTGATGAGTGGAAAAGGTGACGTGGACCAGCAATGGTGACCGACTGTAGGGTTTGCCGACTGGCAGGTTAGCGCTTCGGAGCAAGCCCTCAGTACGGTACCTGAGACCATTGGGCGACACGTAGAGCATTGGCTTGGGACGGATCTTTTCTCGTCGCTCCAGTTCTTGAAGCTGAAGAAACCCAGCAAATTCGTCAATCAATCCTCAGAGGAACCTTTTCTGACTTCGCGATCGAAGCCTTCGTTGCCTTGTGGTTTCAGATACCCGAACACCTTCCTACTAGACCCTAGACGGGAGTTGTTGAAGTGTTCAAAACTGACAGAGTCAAAGCTCAGCAGTCACTCCAGATATACTGGATCACCAGTCAAAGCTCCAGCCAAGTTCGGACCCACCTCATTTGTCAGCTTCTCGATCCGCAGCGGCGAATCCAGCCCGTCTTCCGGAACGTCCTCAAACGCGACCGTGATCGCGTTATCCTTAACCTGGTAAACCACCCCCTGACCCAGTGCCGGCGCCGACCCATCTGCTTTGTTCAACTTTAGCGCAACCACGTCGTGGGGGGTAAACTTATGGGGCGGAAATAGATCCCCCCGGTTCGGTTCGAGGACCAGGAGCGTTTTTCCGAGAAGACCGCTCTGGGCGTCAGTGCACTTGAGGTTGAGAAGCGCGCGGCCGCGCTTTTGGGCGGTCTCGGGTTTGAGCGTAGTGTTGGTCTCGGTGGACGCTGCGACTTCGGCTTCCGTGCACGCCGGAAGTT